CATCTATGGTAAGTGGAGAGCCGTTGAAATTTGCAAGGAAAGAAACATGAAAGTAGTATATTAAGATGAGACAGGTGAATTGAACCAACAGGGGGAGTCCAGTTAGGCCCTGCTAGGAAGGATAAGGCCCTGAACACTGAGGCCTTGCAAAAAGGAAGGGGAAAATACTTTGGGTGCTGGACAAAGAAGTACTCCTGCTAGAAATTCCAGGAAAGATGGGCAACGTGCAGATGAGAGGTGGTTATTTACCTTTCACACCTTTTTAGTCTCCCCTTTCCTCTGCCCTTGCTATTATTTATCTATAGTTCCTTATACTATTCAGCCAAGAATTCTGAAAGCTCCCCAGACCAAAACTTTCTCTTCGTTTTTTTAATCCAGAATTCAAATGATGGATTTTTCCAATATAAATCTTTTCTCAAAGGGCAGAGCATAGATAAATCAGTAGGTAAGCGTTTTAATGAGGCAGCTCCACTTCTGCCACTATGTGTGCATCAAACGACGTCCCCACTTTACAACAAACAAAAAAGATGATCCATTTATTTAGTTCCTACTTGATTCATCCCCAGGTTCAGGCCACTCATCATGAGAATGGCCAGGTAGCACAACAGAAGAGAAAGGATTATGGGCTGAGGAGGTAGCCAGTGTATGTTGGGCATTATCTGAGTGGATTGGGGCTAAAGGCTGAAGAGAAAGAATGGATGGGAAAATGTGAGAATGTGATTGTGTTCTTTCCAGGGAAAGCCCAGCCGGAACAGAATTTTGCAGTACTCACTCGGGAAGAGCATTTTGAAATCATGTCTTTAGCAGGGCATGCATAACCCAGAAGATAAGAGGAACAGAAGGTATAAGACACAAAAGGAAAAAGAATAACAGCACAAAATTTTAAAGAATATTATATAAATTATCAAAAGATGATTGTGCATTTCATCTTTTGCCTGCTCTTTTCATACCTGTGGACATGTGTTCCCTTATGAATTTAAAAGACATGCACCGAGAACCTACAGTGTGCTCAGCCCCAAGTATGAGCAGGTCTCCATGGCTGTGGAGAGCAGTGGAGTCAAACTGCCTGGGTTTTAATGTCAGCACCATCACTTATCAGCTCTGGGGATGTTGGGCAAATCACATAATCTCCTCCTGCCCCTGGCTTAAAAAATTTTTTTGACACATTTGCTTCATCATTCTGTGTATCTATATATACATATTTTCCTTATGATGCATTGAGAGTAAGTTGAAACATAATGTCCCTTCACTCTGGATATTTCAGGATGTTTCCTAAGTACAAGGACATTCTCTTATATAACCACAGTTCACTGATCAAATTCAGGACATTTCACATTGATACACTTTTATCTAGTCCATTGTCCATATTCCAAACTCTGTCAATTGTCTCAGTAATAATCTTTAAAGAAAAAAAAAAAAAAAAACCTTTTCAGCCTAGGATCACCTACAGCATTTATCTGTCATGTATCTTATTTCAGCTGGGACAGGTTGCTCAGCCTTTGTCTTTCAAGCACTGACATTTTTGAAGCTTACTGGCAAACTTAACCTTTCTTTTAACAGAAAAGATAATAATAGTCCCTATTTCTGAGGGTGGTGTGAGGGTAAATGAGGTAATCCAGACTGCTCTGAATTCGGGACCTGGAACACTGAGGATGTGAGTGATTAGTTTCTGTTACTATTATTAGTAGTAAACAGTTGTATAAACACAGGCCTCTGCTATACGGGGAAGAGACTGAACAGTACAGGACAATCCTGGCGATGGGGGAATGAAGGGTGCTGTGGGCACATGGAGGGCCCCTGACGCTGCCAGGGGAGCCAGAGAAGGCAGGGAAGACCTGCCGGAGGGTCACAGTGGAGGATGAGCAGGAGTTAGCAGAATGAAGTAGGGCTCTCCAGGCACAGGAATGGCTTTAACACATGCCCAGGGAATGGCAGGCAGGAAATTATCAGTTGCTGGTGTGACTGCTGGTATGAGGATAGAGGTGGAAGTGATGAAGGGACAGAAAATTGCTGAAGCTTCACTCCATACTTGACTGGCCTCTGGTCCTGACCCTCAAAGTTCTCAGTGGATATCGAGCACTCTGTGGTCAGCTCGGCAGGGCTCAAACACTGACCCCTGGTTTCTGCCAAGTGAGCAGCTGTCTGCTGCACCTGTTCTTCACCTGATGGCTGCTCTTCTGGATTGTCCCCTCTCTCACCTTCCCAATCAAGGTCTTAGGAAAGGCGTTCACACCACTGACATGCCTTTCTCCCAGCACCTCTGTCCTGGGCTCCTACCACTGCTTCCAGGCCACCAAGACCGTGCTTCCTCATCAAACCCACACTCTGGCCAGATCCTCGCCCTCAGAAACCTTGCCAATGCAAGTTCCCCTCCTGCTGCTTCTTTAACTTCTCTCATGGTGAGAATTCACAGAGGGCTGCTCAGCTACCTCCTACTATACCCTCAAGAGGGTGAGCAGGGTGTCCTCTTCCTCCCATCTTCCCATCTCTGATAGTGCAGCAAGGCAGGGAGAGGAGGGGTCGCCCTTGCAGAGAACTGCTCCCATGAGGGCAAAGAGCAGAGGGTCTGAGTGGAAAAAACAGAGTGACCCTCTGGACTCTCTCAACCTCTTAAAATTCCTTCAGTAATAAAGAGACAGTCTGCTAGATTATTTCACATAATGCCTGGAGCTCAATTAATAACCTAAGAAGGAACCAAATACCTAAACACTAATAATTCACCAATCACCAAAAAAAGAACTTGTCACCCAACTTCCCATTTGAGGTCAGAAAGTATTTCTCTGAGGCTGTAAAAGTGGCTCATTGGAGGTGATGAGAGTTTGTGGTATGCCAGCTTCTAGTCAAGTTATTACTGCTTAAGGAGAGATGGAGCCATAGCCACTTCTGGGTTCCTAGTCATAACCAAGCCAAGCTCAGCAATTAAAAAGTAGTCTTGTTTACTACTTTAAAGGTCATCAATACAAATCAATACTTCTAATTCCAGAATTAGAAGTACTGCCACACACCTACATCCTCCATCCTCCAGCACAAACATTCTTGAATTCTAAAATATAGTTTTCCTGACAAATGTACCATGCACCTTTAGAAATATTCTTATATGCAAGCTTTAAATTACCAGATTTTGCATTCACACCTAATGAGATTATGGACATTTTAGGACTAATAGCAGTGCTAGGTTTAAAAAGGCAGCGGTGAGACATGATGAAAAATTCAGCTCTGTTCCATAAATGTGAATAAAATAGATGTTCAGCTGACAAAGTATCCTTTATGGCTCTATTTTTGCTCCTTTCACATTTCCCCTGCTCTGCCGTCAGTAAATTTCTCTTTACCATATTAAACTTTTATACATACAAATTTACATCAGTGCCACAGGCACTGATTTCGATTTTCAAAATTGAATTTTGGGTGGTGACAGCAATTGGTACAGCGGCCCTATTCTTGCCACACAAAGGGACGCAAAACCACTTTTGGGAAAGGGTGTTGCAAACTGCTTAGCTAATTAAGGTAGAGCTGGATGCAGTCCAGGAGGATCTATGAAAAAAAGGTTTTCATGACTTGGTAATGAACTTCTCAAATGAGTTCATTCTGCTATGGGAGCCTATTCCCTTCAATTCAATTGAAAATGTATTTCTTGAGCACCTACTATGTAAAGGGGAAGCTGTGGGAGGAGAGCCTTGGCCCTGGAGAAGCTGGCAATCACTGAGGAGACAAGACATGCACAGATTAAACATTGAATATAGCCAGGGTAGTGTGTAACTGAGTGTCAGAGTTATAGGAGATCAGAGGCTGGAGCTGGTCACCAAGCCTGGCTAACAGGACAGGTGTGGTGGGGAAGGTCTTCAGGTCTACTGCAGTGACAAGTTCAGAGTAAGGGGTAACCAGAGTCCTTCACTTCGAGGAGTGTAGACTTCAGAGCTGGACCTGAGCATGGGTGGAATGGGGATATGGGAGTGACTGGGAGGAGGCATGAAGAGGCAGGAGGACAAGGATGTTTCAGGCAGGCAGGGTCTTGAGCCAAGGAGCGTTTCAAGGGAAGCCATCAAATTCTTGGCAAGCTCTATGTGTTTGCGGGGGAGGACGGTGGTGTTCACAGCGCTCTAGATTATTAAAAGTTAAGAACCACTTACATTATGGCCAATGTGGGAGGGAATAAGAGGACACCCTCACTGAGGCTGGGGCAAGGGCTGGAGTGTGATAAGACATGAAACAGGCTGGGACCAAGGATAAGAGGACAGTGAAGGCCTCACAAAGCTGCCTGCCAGTTGTCCAGGAGGCAACTGGCAGACCCAAAGATCTTTGAGTAAAGTGGAGACTTACTGAAAGTAGTTGAGAATTTATCCCTCTAGGAGAAGCATCTACGTCTTTAAACATGCACAGAAAAGTACCACCCCTTGGTCTAAATACTACCATACTTCACTCTCACTCCATGTGGAACTGGGAGAGAAAAAAAGAGATGGATAATAATTCTCTGTACAACTCCTGTTTTGCAGTGTGTTTCATATTATAACTAAAAATAGCATAACCTATCCTTGGGCCATTCTTCAAACACTTGACTTCAGGGACCACATATGGGGGTGAGCAAGAATGAGATGGTGTCACTGCTGCCAGCTCCCTGCCCCACTGAAGAATGCATTAGACCAGGTCTCAACTGGATGACTGATAATCCAGGATTATATAAAACCTTTGAATTCTCCTCTGAGCAGTTGGAAATATCATTTATATTACTGCAAACCCAAGACAAAGTTTAACTTCTCTCAAATGGGGCTGGTATTATTTAAACGTAGATAGAAATACACTGGTGGGTGAGCCCTTCCTGGGTGGCTGTGTTTCCCAGGCTGTTCCAGGCTGTTCCTCAGAGCTGTGCTCCGGGTTAGGTAAGTGGGTGCTGGTGTGCAGTCAGGGACCTTTTAGGAAGCTGCTTTGTACCTAATGAGGTTATTAGAAGGATTTGCTTCTTTCCCTGTATTTAAGTCAACAATGACTGTTGTTTTGCCACCTCCCCCCATATTGCGATTCTTTTATCAAGCTCTCAGTGCTGCAGAGGACACGTGTTCTCTTAAGGAAACTGTATTCAAAGGGGGCAAACCCCACATACATTAACTTTTAAAAACTGCACAAAAGGATAGAGGATATATGTAAGAGGTGTTAAGTGTGTTCCTGCTTCCCACCACCCTCTCCCTCCTGGTGGGTTCAGGGTGGACCGTGATACTCCCCAGAGGGCAATCTGAGGTGAAATAAATGGTGGCAGTAGTTTTCATACTCTGGTTTTGACTCTGAATGATGAACATGCTTTCTAGTGAGTCTGGCTTTTACACATTGGTGTCCGACTCAAGGACCATCTTTCTTCCCACCTGCACTGGGGAAGATAGTGACTGGGCCAAAGAAGAGCAAGTGGGTAAACACAGGAAGATGTTTAATTCTTTGTCCAAACGTCCATGGTCCAAAAAGGTTTGATCAGGGAATGATGGGAGGGGAGTAACTTGAAGTTTATGGAACAAGAGGCCTTTCTAACAAGAACTGAAGTGGAATGGCAGCTGAGGACTGATCCGGCACCAAGGACGCAAAGCCAGATCAGGCCAGGACAGCTGGGTCCGTTTCTACTTGTTTTATCTTGCCACTTAACTCCCAGGGGACTCTAAGTTGTTTTATTTTTCCGATTTTGCTTCCTCATTTGTAAAATGGGAACAGAGATGACTATTTCACACAGCTGCACAAAGGATTAAATTAAATGAGATCATACAAGCAAAAGTGTGCCAAGCGTGTGTTCAGTGTTATTGTTAAGATGGAGGAGGCCATGGGGCCTGCCCCTCTCCTTCATAGGAACAAAAAGGCTGTGAAGCAGAGCTGTTTCCCCTCCAGTCCTGTCTTTATGGCGACTGGCATAACCAATGGAGAATTCTACACTAATCAGCCATCTGGGTCAAATGCCGGCTGCTGGCTGCCAGCTTAATGAAGAGTCTACCAGAACCATCTTTCTTCTCAAGGTCTTTATAAATGATCTAGGGGTGTCAGTGGGAGTGACTCACAGTGATGTTCTCAATTCCAGCAAGGAGCTGCTCCCTCCAAAAATCACAAAGATTTACTAAACCCAGGAGTGTTCTCAAGTGACATCAGGATGAGGTACCATGACAGTGGTCCTGAGTAATGCACTGGTTCACTCTACCAGAGATGCATTCTTCGGCTGCTCTAGAACCATCAACCAAACCATGACTTGCATCTATAGCCACGATTCAAATCTGTGTGGGCCTTCTACTGATCAGAACTATCTCCCTAGGTGACGACAAAGGATGACAACGCCAAAGGAGAAAGTTCTATCCTCTTATTCTGGCTCCTCTTACACTTACAGTCGAGTAGGTGAATGTCATGCTCTCTCACCTCCCCAAGGATCTAGCCTCTGTTGGCTTTTCTGTTGGCTGGTTTCGCCTTTGGGATTTCATTAAAGTCATGTGTCTGCCCAAGTGTAAGCTCACTGGTGGTAAGGGCCAGGTTATGTCCCTCTTCTGTAGTTCCTGCAGTCCCCCCAACATGCTAAACTCTCAAATAAATTCTTTCCACTTAGAACACACAGATATCCTTTCTCACTCTTCACTACTTCTATCTAGTTCTACTACATCTGTAACTATATTCAAATGATGTGTCTCATGAGCCATAACCAATCATTTATTTATTCATTCAGACATTTACTGAATGTCTTTTATGTGCCAAGAATTATATTAGACACCAGGGGGGAGAAAGATAAAAATGGCACCATCTCTATTCTGAGGAAGCTCATGCTAAAAATATGTAGGGAGCAGAGCCCTAGAAAGCCTATGGGGTTTGCAGAGTGGGGACTAGATTTGAGTCTTGACTTTAAGATCTTTATGCTTTGGGGCAGTGAAAACCACTGTAAGAGGTATGAGGACACTCAGTATAGTGTGACCACCCCCACTCCCAAAGCACTGAGCCAGACATTTCATTCATGCCCACCACTCACTAGGTTTCAGTGATGCCACTGGGCATATTCTTGCTCCAGTAGGTGGTCTGGCTTGGCTCTGTATTGGGCTAAGCTGCAAAAAAAACAAGTTCCTGCTTTGACAGGTATTGGCCAAATTTTGCAAAAGTCATTTCTTCAGACTGTGTGTCACATGTCACATCTCTGACCTGTTGCCTGAGCCCCAGGCTCAAATATCTCACTGCCTATTTGACATTTCTACTTGGAAGTAAGTCCACTCGGCATCTCAGATTTAACATGTCTAACACTAAACTCAAGATATTTTTTCCACATCCCCCCTGTTCCTCATCTAATTTTTCACATCTCGGTAAGTGGCACCAACTTCCACCCAGTTGCTCAGGCCAAAAAACTCTAGCTGTTATCCTTGGTTCTTCTCTTTCTCTTTACCCCACTTCCAATATATCAGCAAGTCCTGTTGATGTACCCTTCACATTGCAACCCGAATGCAGCCACTTCCATCTCCTGTGCTGCCACCCTTATCAAAATCATCACCATTTTCTTGCTTGGGCTACAATGATAGCTTTTCTTCTAGTCTCATTTTATTATTAATCCCCTATAATTCACCACATAAACCAGAGTAATCTTTTTTTAAAAAGTAAATTAGGTTACATCAGCCCCCTGGTAAACTCCCCCAATGGCTTCTCCCTGGCCTTCTAAAAGCCATCTTCTGACCAGAGACCCTACCGTGCCTGGTTCCTGTCTTCCTCTGACCTCAACTCTTAGCAAATTCTACTTCATTCACTACTCTCCAGACACTCTAGCTTTCTTCTTGTCCTCTAAATGCCAATCTGCTTCCTGCTGCAGGACCTTTGCGCTGCCTGATATGCCCTTCCAGTAAGAGCACATTGCTGGCTCTTCTCCTCTTAGGTCTCATCTATGCGGTGCCTACACAGTAGGGCCTTATGCGACTATTGTAATTATTACCCTTCTATCATGCTACTCTATTTTATATTCATCATAGCACAGTTGACCCTTGAACAACACAGGTCTGAACTGCACGGGTCCACTATACACGGATTTTTTTCAATAAATACGTACACTACTGTAAATGTATTTTCTCTTCCTTATGATTTTCAAAATAACGTTTTTTCTCTAGCTTACTTTATTGCAAGAATACAGTATATATTACATATAATACATAAAATGTGTTAATTGACTGTTTATATTCAGTAAGGCATCTAGTCAATAGGATGCTATTAATAGTTAAGTTTTTGGGGATAAAAATTACATGTGGATTTTTGACTGCTGGGCTGGAAGTCAGTGTCCCTAACCCCCACATTGTTCAAGGGTGAACTGTACTTATCTAGGCTGTCTTATATATGTCTACTTGCTTACTGTGTCCTGAACTAGAATGTGAACTTAACCTCATCTGTCTAGTTCATTGCTGTCGCCCGAGCACCTAACACAGTTCCTGGCACGTGGTGGATGTTCAATAAATATATGCTATACAAATGACGGAATTCCAGAGCAGGAGCTAACCTGGAGGAGAGCAAGAACATACGTCTACCACACCCACACGCACACGAGCTGAGGACCCAAACCTGCTGCAAAGGCTTACAGGGGCCCAGGAAGCAAGTAAAAGCTTAGCGGGGGCCCTGCAGAAGTCCTCAGGGATCAGCTCAGTCAGTGCACAATACTGCGAAGTAATGGCATAATGTCAGGGGAGAAATAAGCCTATCACTAGTGGTGTGGCTCTCAACCTTGGCTGCACCTCGAATCATCTGTAGAGCTTTAAAAAATAGAGCAAGGTTCCACTCCCAGAGATTCAATTTAATAAGGCTGAACGGTCCAGGCCCCTAGATTTTCAAAAAGCTCCTCCAGTAATCTCAAAGTGCAGCCAGCTGAAAGCGCTGAGTAAAAGTTAGGGTCGTTGTTTTCTAAGGTTCCCCAGGGATAATGGGGTCCACACGCACGTGCGGCCTGAGGGACGGCGCACGCACGCGCAGGTCCCGCCCCTGCCTCGTCCTTTCCTCCCCTCGCCCCAACCACCTCCCCGCCGAAGGCAGACCCACAGTCCGATCACCTGGGTGTTCTCTCCCTCCCGAAAGGCCTGTGCTACCCGCTGCCGCAGGTAACTGCCCAAGTCCCGGCCCCGTTTGGTCTCGTCCACTGGCCATTCTTCACAGAGCTTAAGGAAACGCCGGTAGCGGCTGGCCGCCATTTTGGGCCCCGCTTGTCCCGCCCCGGAGGGTGGAGTCGGCCAGACCTGTGGCGCTTGCGCACTAAGGCTCGCAGCCTGCCCGTGGAGGCGAGGCGGGCAGAGGGAGCACGCGCGACTTTGCCGGCTCCACGCAGCTCCCCTGGTAGGGGCGCTGCTGGCTTGTGTTTGAGAGCAGGGCTAATTCCGTCGTGGTTCTCCAGGAACCAGCCCAGCAACCAGGGGCAAGGCCGACGTGGAGAACCTTAGAGACAGCTTTGCTTCTCTTTTTCAGTGACTGCGCAAGCTCCAGACTGAAAAAACCCTTCTCGGCGAACTCAGCCAATTTGCATAAACGACACATTTGCATGTAACGACAGGTTGTTATTGGATGAAAATGTGTTTGAACTTAATCACGTAGCACGCACACATGGTTCACACCCCCCCTCCTGCTCCGTTCTCCTCACAGCACCTGTACCTGTCACTACCACTTGGTGTTCTGCCACAATTTCTTCTTTAATGCTCCTCAGCTCTTGTCCCTTTCTCTCCAGCCCCTATTAGTGTCCCCTCTGGACCCTTCCTCCCCAAGCCAGGCACTTTAACCTGGGAGGCACAGATTCTCTAGCTTGAGCATCAGCTGGGAAAAACTTGATTCAGCATGGAAAAACGATGTTTTACCAAGTCTCTTCATATATCTCCAGCTGCATCATCATGTGGAATGTCCTGATTTTTCTTTTCAAAAGATCCTCCCACCTACCAGATTTTTTCTTAAGAAAGCTTCAGCTCCCCGCCCGCAACACACTTTACTGTCCTACATTTAGTCAGACAGGACTGTCCCATGCATACATGCTTCCCCAAAACCTTTTCTTTCTCTCTCCACTTATTTTGTCAAGGGGAGTCCAGGAGACTCCTGCCTTGAGTAGGGGAGTGAATACACAACCAAAACACAAAGTTAAAAGTGACAAGGGCTTGAAGTGATAAAGAATGCAAGGGAGTTTGAAGAAAGAAATAGTACTTCTGGCTGTTTAGGAGAGCAGGGCGGAGAAAGATCAGGGATGGCATCTGAAGGGCGTGGGTAAGTGGGAATGGAAGGATACAAGCTCAAGAGCCAGGCCTGGTGCAGGAATGGGAGAGAGAGGAAGAGGGAGGAATCTAATTTGGGGAAAGATCAATGGGTGGTTTTAACAAGGAATAACTTTGAACTGTTCTGATGCCCTCTTGAAGTAAGTGAGTTCAGGGGATACCCACCTGAGGTAAGGAGAGTTCATGGGAAGTAGAAAATGCATTCAAGGGTATCCCCACCATGTTCCAGCCCATCAATACCTCCCTGCTCCATCTTTACCATCAGCTGTATTTATAGCTGCATAGTTTTGATGGCTGCCTCACAGCCCAAAATGCCAGGGTTGTAACTGTTATTGTCAAGCAGTAGGAACCTAAGGCTGTGCTGGATGCCTGGAGAAGCCTTGTCATTCTGCCTGAGGCCTTACTACAGTTGTGGCTTTGAAGAGCACCTGGCAGGCTGAGAACAGCTGTCTTGGGAGGCAGGGACTGAGGTCCCTCTGTCTTAGGCAAAAGGAATAGTAACATTAGGTGGCAGCAAATGGTTTTCACCACACTTGAGGCACAGCGCAATGAGATGTTGAGAAGAACAACTGGTTGCCAGGGGAAAGCCCAACCAGTGCCTCCTCCTAAGGCTCTCCCTTCACCAGCAAAGCATCTTCTGCGTCAGGTTGGGGTTGTCCCTGGTTCAGACTGCCTTACCCACCTCTCTTTCCCCCACTGGAAGCATGCTTTTGTCTTGATGGTTCAGTAGTGAGACTTTGGAGTCTGACAGACCCAGGCTGAAATGTGGGCTTGCTCATTCATTCACTCATTTGTTTATTTAGGACAAATCCATATCATTTGCAGGGGCCCTATGCAAAATGGAAATGCGAAGCTCCTTGTTAAAAAATTATTAAGAATTTTAGGACAGTAAGAGCAGATCGTTAAACCAAATGTGGTGCCCTTCAGAGCACAGAGCCCTGTGTGACTGCACAGATCACACACCCATGAAGCCAGCCCTGAACTCCTTCCATGTGGTGGATAAGGCGGATGAGAGCCTTGATCCTATGGGTTTTACATTTAAGTTAGGGGAGACAGATAACAACCAAGCAAACATGCAATAACAATAATAAAAGGCTTCATATGTATGAAGTAATTTGCTAAATAAACAACATAATTTCAGGGAGAGATCAAGTCAGGGTGCGGGGTCCATGTGACTAGGGCAGGCGTAGGGTATGGGTAGTCTGGAGGGGCTTATGTTTGAGAGAGACCTGAGTCACCTGAGAGGCAAGAGCAGCTTCCAGGCAGAGGAGCAGCAAGGGCAAAGGCCTTCAGAGAGACCAGCCTTGAGTAGGTTATTTAATCGCTCTGAGATTCAGTTCTTCATCTTAAAATGGGAATTATAGTGATAAATGAACATTTACTAAGTATGTGCTGTGTGCCAGGGACTGTTCTAAATGCCTTACATATATTGACTCATTTTGTCCCCATTTTATAGAGGTGGAAACAAGCACAGAGAGGACAAGATAAGGACTTGCCAATGTCACCAACTGGTAAGTGGCAGAGCCTAGAATTGAACCCCGCTGACTAGTTTCAGAGTCCATCCTCTTGCCCACCTGGTGCCTCTCCTGGCCTCCTTGCAGCATTATGGTTGTGAACTGTGTGCCAGATGTGTTTCTGTACGCATTATAGTTTCCTGGGGGCTCTAGGGTCCTCTCTGACTTTGTTTTACCTAGCCCACCACCCCCCATGTCCACATGCCTGTGGGTGGTTGGAGCCAGAATCTGGGCTCACTGGCTTGTCAGTCACCCAGTGTCATTCTGAGCACATTAATAAGCACTGCCTGGAATGTGACCTGGGCAGTGGCAGCCCCTCAGAGAGCTGATGACATCCACCTGTGAGCTGTCACTCATTCCACTCAGAATGCAGTGGCCCTCCTGGCTCCTTGAAAATCCCCACCAGAGCCTCACCTCTCCAACCATTTGGAATGGGTATTTGAGCTTTACGGAGCCCTGATCTTTCTTTATAGAAATGAGGCACCTTCATGGGGAGGAGAGAAGAGGAAGAGAGCGCTGCTTCAGTTTTTCAAGTTATAATGATCCCAGTAATTGAGACACTGAATCACACATTTTAATTGCTTGAAAGTAAAAAATATCATTTTGTAATGCTAGTGTTAATAATGTAAACATTAAAAAGGAATTAAATACTTAGCTGTATTGTAGGGCATGATTGCCTGATTTTTCTTCTTTCAACTATTCAACCAGAGGAAATGATTGGCTGCAACACTCATATGTTACCGTAAAAAGTGGGTCTAGACTTGCATCGGAATAGTTAGTCATTTAATACCCCCGTATAAAGGTAGCTAGAAAGGTCATTGCTGCCTTATTCTGGAGATGAGCTCTTTTTTCAAGAGACACAGGTTTTTTGAAGTATGCTGGGACAGACTCCAGTGGGGTCCTAGAGTGTACCCCAATATCTCCAGAGCCCATCAGCTCTGTTGGGATATCTTTTCATCTGCTCACCTCCCTTCATTTTGCTCTCTGGTCCATATCACCTCAGAGAGGCATTTCATGGCCTCTGGCCCTGAGCTAAAGTAGCAGCCCCATCACTTTTGGTCCCCTTTTGCCTCAAAGCACTGTTTGACAATAGGTCCTGGTGCATGGTAATCTCTCACTAAATGAATCTGAAGAAATAAGATGACATTAGACTATAAACCCAGGTCTTCTCGTCCACTTGTCCCCATCCCTACCCCTGCCCCTATAAAATTCTCATCTTTAGAGAGCTGAGGGAGAAAGGTGAAAGGCAAATCAAAAGCAGGTATGTTTCTGGATTTGAATTGTTTTCGGATTAGCTGTCAAATTTCCTGTCCCATTTCAGGGCAGCTTAGTAACAGAAGGGAGAAAAACATAATGAAAAGGACCCAACCTGGCTGCAAGTCAGCCTGCCTGGCTGGTGTTCAACTTATTGTCCCAGAGCTGCTTTTTTCCCTTCCTCCTACCCTCTAATTCTTGGCATCCACCCCTTCATTTTAGTTTTTTTCCCTCATCTTTTGGTTTTATGTTTTTGGCCACAGAGGATACAGATTTAAATTAAAAGTCAGAAGTTTAGATCATTTTGAAGAGCTGTTGATGAGTGGTCTTGCCTTGCCATTTGTTTTATTAGATTGTTTCCTGCCCTTTCCAGCATGGTCTAAAAGACTCCATGCAGCTGGGAAGAGTGATGGGGCTGCCAGGGTGCTGCCCAGAGGCCCAGGGCTTCCAGATGACATTGTATTATGGAGCAGCTATCATAACATTCCGCTCTTTAGCTTTCTTTTCAGTCACGCAGGAATATCAGAGGGGCAGAAATGGGGCTGGGTGGCTGTCTCTCAGGCTGCCCATATCCCCAACCACTTGATGGGGAGGTCAGGAGCAGGTTGTTCTTTAACATCACCTGTCTTGAGGACCAAGTTAGAGTAGATGAGGAAACTGAGGTAGGGGAGATGCTAAGCAAATCTACTAGCACTCTGGGCACACTCAGTGTATGAAGATATGGCTAGGAGACAGAGCTGGATCAGAACCCACAGCTCTGGCACTGCCAGGCCCCTGCTGTCTCCTCACTTGCTTTTTATATCTTTGCTTCTCTCTTCTTAAGTCAGATATCAATTTAACATGTGGATATGGAGAAACAGGTTATAGTAGAGGCTGAGTTCTCATCAAACCCATTTCCTCTTCTAGGCACACAAACTGTATCTTTGCCCTCTGGCATCTGGGTAGGGCCACATGTCTGGTTCTTGTCCACAGGTATTAGGGTAGGCTAACTGTTATGACAAACAATCCCCAAATATCAGTAGCTTAACATTATAATCCAGCATGGTCAACAGATAGCCTCTGCTCTTCACAGTTATCCAGAAGGAAGGAACCCAGGTTCCGTCCTTCTTGTAACACCACCATCTTCCACCACAAGGCCTAAAAGACAGCATGCTGTATAAGTTTCTAGACCGTGACCCCTCTGAGTCTGATAGTCCAGTAAGAATGGTCTAAAACCAGGAGCCAACTTTGTCCCTTGCAACAGACTGCTCTTTCATCAGGGACCTCTTCAGGAGCAGGTTGGAATTTGGGCTGGGCCTCGAATGATTTGTAAGGAGGAAGAAAGCCTCATGTGAAGGGCACCATGGTTTAAAAGAGTAGCTAAGAGAGGGGCATCACGTGGGCAGGAATAAGGAGCCAGCCCATGGAGAGTGGTTATAGCATAGTTAGTGATGTGGGTGGCCAGCCCTAAAAGACTTAGGTTTCAGCTGATTGTTCCCACCTCATTATCGGTCAAGTCCCACACACCCAGGGCTGCTAATAGTGGCAGAGTCAGAAGGTGAGCCAGGAAGCTTTGGACTTGGTTGATGTGGAACCAGGTTCTCAAGCAATGAAGGGGCTTGAAAAAGCAGTATTTAGGGCTCTATTTTGTCATTAGCAAATATTTAGTTTTCGACTGACTCCCTTTTGCTGCTCAATAGTCTTTGACTCAAACCTCCCACCAAGGGCACAGAGCATGCAAATTAGTTTTGTCATTACTTCAGCCAAACATAATTAGGGAAGTTAACTTGCTTTGGAATCCATATAATGTATCACAAAATTAAATGAAAGTTTTTTATTATCTAGGCCACTCTTCTATTAGGATTTTGGAAAGTTGATGGTAATTAGCCACGGGAATCCAGAAATTATTTAATTTTGCATTGTATAAGGTTCAAGTGAAAGGACTACTTACTTTTCAGGTCTGGGGCCTGCCTTGTAGGTACATGCAAATATTTTATTAGCCACCATTTCCCACCAAGTTCCCCGAAAGACAGCAGGAAATCGGTGAACTGTTCCTGCTGTATTCCCATAAATTAGAGCTACCATACAGTGTGATGATCAGAAAAAATAAACAGAAAGGGTAATAAAGTACATCAAATAATCACTGGTGACCTTAGTAATTTTATTAACAAATTTATTTCTCTAACTGGGTAACGTATCTCAGTGCTTGAATCAGGCATTGTAATAGGTTTCCACAGTGCAGAAGAAAGAATTCATTGGAATTGTTTGTTCCATGTTTATACTTGTCCACTGGTCTTGTAAACATTGTGCCTGGTTTCCTCAGTTCTTCAGGCTCATCACTTCTGACTCCTCTCCTCCCCCACATACTCCAATAAATAAATGGAAAGCTAAGAGTGTAATTTAACATCAGTGGTTCCTCCTCATGTGCATTCCACCACCATTGGAAAGCTGTATTTCATGGTCAGATTCAGAGGCATTTTGAGGTTAGATTCTGGCAGAATCGTTGCTTCCAACAGGTACTTAGAAGTCTGTAAAGAGACCTTTCTCTCCACAGGTAAAAATGGGAAATCTGGGGTGTTGGTTTGCCAGTGCTGTGTCTGGGATTGTCTTTGTCCCTTCAGAACCTGGTACAAAATTGGTGAAATGGGCAGATCTGTCCCACTTCATCCTTCCCCACCTACAGTCCCTCTTAGGAAGGTAAGAGGCATTCATTAGTTCTGTCTGCCTTTGGAGCAGGCAGCTCATGCAAGCAGAAACCCGTGAACTTGTTAACTCATTCTTTAAGTCTTCTTCAAGTAAGATTTTTTTGCCTCACAGCTTGCAAGGATTGTAGCGTGACAACAAGGAAGCATTTTAAAATGCAAATACTCTAGAATTTCACCGTAATGCTGGCCTCTAACCCATGCTGCACCCCTCCAGTATACTCCAAGATGATGCCATTTCATACTGACTGTCCAGTCTGTGGTGACCAGCATTAGCACAAGATGCCAGGTATGTGAATTATCTCCAGAGCTGGTTTTTCTAGCATATATTAATATAGCCTGCCATGTATAGTGATGGCTTTTGAATGTAGATATGATTATTACAAAGATATCTAGGGGGTGTCTAGACTACCCTCACTACCAATAGGTCCCTCTTAAGATCTGTACTCCAGAAAAATGTGGATAGGCCCAACATCTCATTTTTTCTCCTGTATATCCTGCAGAATCTGGATGAGGTTCTCCAGACCAAAAATATAGCCTGGATCTGGTCCATCGTAGGTCGTATGCTCATTCCAGGAGCCCTTGTATGTCGTATGAGCAAAGTCGATCATCCGGATGTCAACTTTAGCAAGACCTCCAGGAGAGTTGCTGTGGGCTGTCTGCAGAGCCTCCTGAGGATGCTGGCCACCCAGGGTTCTTTCCATCAGCTCCTGCCCATCATAGATGATGAGGAGAGAGCTGGAATAGAATCGGTATGAACTCTGGCTCCTAATGACCGAGAGGAGGGCCCGGAGCTGGCGCTGGATGGGCTCCAGCAGTTCTGTCCGGAGACGGGTTCCATTGTGCAGGAACTGATAGAGGGCTTGTCTGAACCCCTCGACTTTGAGTTTTCTTCCATAGTACTTGTCTTTGCAGAGAAAGTGCTTCTTATCAATTTGATAAACCTTATGTTAAAAAGAAAGAGAACGTGAAGAATTACAAACAAAAAAATTGCATCTGCTGCGGTTGCAGCATCACAAGCTAACATAATATATAAACGGATTTCCAGGAGACACAGGGCAAAAATGGCTAAAATGAACAGAATGATGATCTTTCATCATGCACCTATTGGCTTTTACATTTTAAAATGCTTTCTGTGCAAGCCTTTAATAGAAATCCAAGGTCTAAAGATCCTCACCCTACAAAGGTGACCCTCCACCCAAGAGGAAAAGAGTTGGATTTCCTTTCTTGTGAATTTCCAATGTCAACCTCCAAATCATGATTTAAATCCTGGCTTCTGGCCCTCCTCAATTCAAATATTAGCTAACCCAAGCTAGAAAGCTTCAGTAGGAATCTGAAGTCACAGCCAATGGCCTTGGAAAGCCAACTAGATTAAATTTTCCCCAACCGTTTATAAAGTTCTTTCTCTGCAGATTCCAAGGAAATAATGGCTCTTGGAGTGGAAGAGGGTGAATTATTTGAAGATAAAAGACAGGCTAGATCAGGTGTGGATGGAATTTTTGGGCAGCCAGTGTAGCTGAGGGGATCCTGCATATAGGGAAGTTCACAACAGCTCTGTGGAGCTGGTGGCTCCTCTCCTTGGCACCAGACCCTCTTCCCTCACTTGTCATGTCTTGGCCACCAGAAGGGAGCAGATGAAAGAGGGACACTGATGGGGGGGACAGTGGCAAGCATCCCCCTTTTAATTTGGATGGCATAAGCAGCAGCAAAAGCTAAACTGAGGCCAGCAGCTGGCATTGCCAGGGAATGACTTGGCACGCCTCTGCCTGGCACACCTGGGAAGGGCTGCCCATACCTGGCCAAGACAGTTTCTCAGGTCTTTCCTGCCTTCAGATTATATGATATGTTTATGGGAAACCAGTAATGAAAAAAATCAGAAGAATATAATAGACTAGGTGTGGTTTTGGAGGGTTAGAGATCGGCTGCTAAATTAGCCATCTTAAGTACATGATAGGCATCACTTTCTAAATAAATCAGATCAATTTCAGAAGGTTTAAGATCCAGAGAGAGATTTCGTTTACACCACAAATCATCACACCCCATTCTCTTGAGGACTGCATTCCAAGCCTTTTAAGGGACATCCGTGCAACAAATTTATAGACTCAACTTCCAGCTTCAAGGGGTGGCAGTTTCAATTAAAGAAAGCTATAACATTTACCGTCAAATCGGTATCTGGTTTTGCTTTGAGTAGATAGACTATAAGGAGTGAACGAATGGAGGAAGTTTATTTCCAACTGTTCTCCTGCAGCCCCTGCCACAAGCCACATCTGAACAGCAAAAACAAGGTGCAGAGTCTGAGCAATAAAAATTAACCAATGCTTTGCCTGGGCTTAGCAGGTTACTACCTTCCCACTTTGTTAAGCCGAACAGATAGCAAGAAGCAGAATAGGTGGAGTAAGAAGAGAGAATGGCGAATAGGAATTCAGAGACAGACTGCCTTATAACATCTGAGAAGGAGTTCAGCTTTATCATTTAGAGAATGAGGAATCCACAGAGTGCACAGAGAAGCTCTTTGGCATAGTTCTTTCCCCAGACTCTGCTCACACACTGTCATCAAAGCTCTGTTCTCAATGTGGGCAGGACCCACGTGGCCACTGTGGAAAGTTTCAACTGCCAAAGACCCTGAGACCAAGTTAAAAAACGGTGGAGTTTTGACACTGCTACCCTGAAAGGTGCTCTTTAGAAAACCCAGTGTGTCATAGATTAGGATGTGCACTTCCTTGGTGGAATATTAGTACCTGGATGCTTCCCCCAAAGTGGGGAGCTCTGCAGGGGGCAGTAGTGTCTGGATGGGAGACATCCTTGCTCCACAGTGGAGATACCAGGATGCCCAGCCCTGCAGTGGGTCCTTTGCCACTCACCTGCATGCCGCAAATGCGCATGCCCAGGCAGGCTGAGGTGCTCTGTGCACACTTCGTCATGTGGCGGGCCTTCTTCTCCTCAGATGCATCATCCCCATGCTGCCTGGTCCCCATCTTCAGGTCCAGGATGCAGGGATACTTGTACTGTGACACGACATTTTCCAGCAACAAGAACCCTGATCACACTAAGTTAAGGAAGATTCCAAAGACACTAAGGCCACTGCCCCACAGGAGGCAGGCAGCACACCTCTGAAGCTGGCTAGAGATTCTCTACTCTGAGCATTATTCCTTCACTCCCATTTTTTCATTACAGACAAACCCATCGTTGCTATTAAGAATCCCAGGTAGTAGCTTTGCAGGCTGCTTTAATAGGTCCATTTATTTAGGCAGAATTTATGAGTATGCACGCTTCTTTTCCTTTTTGCTCTGAGGTTGAAACTTAAATGTTAAGTCTGAAATCCCTGGCAGGCCTTTTGCCCAATTTACATTTTTTTTTTCTGTTTTATAGCAAACTTTTTTTTTTTTTAAATTAGTTTCAAGTATACAGTACATTTGGTTAGACATTTATAGTTTATAAAACGATCCCCCTAATTGCTCTTTCTCTCCTCTGGTTTTCCTTTTATGGCAGAAAATCATAAGGCTAAAACCTCTAGTCATTGAATGGGCCAGTACCTTTTGAGAGAAGTGGGTTGATGTTAGCTTCAGAGGTGAATTGCATGAATATTAATTTTAGTGGAATAATTATCCTGCAAAAGCTCTTTAGGGATGAGGGTTGCAGATTTGTCTTAGTAAATACTGAAACCAGCTGCCCTTTTGCAGGGAGGAGCCCAGTGGTGACAAAGGGGCATTTTAAGCCTAAATTTGTTCACTGAGAACCTGGAAACGAAGGGGAGGGTCCACCCATGGGCACTTCCCTAAGGGAGAGCCATACCCCTTCCCCTCCATCAACTCTGTAGGAAGACCCCTATGGGGAGAATTTGAAAGGATAGAAAGGAGGTTGGGGTGTGGGGGACCCGCCCAGCCCTCTGAGCCCCCTGCCAGGCATGGCAGTCATCATTCCTATCTGCCCACAGAAACCTTCAGCCCAGACCATCCTTACTGCTCAGGTGACAGAGATACAGCCAGTGGCCCACCAGGGGCACTGTGTTCAGCTTAATTCCCAGTCTGATTCCCCTATAATCTCTGAGTTTTCTTTTGGAGAGAACTGATTTCTTCTAGTCACAGGTCTGAGGCTCGTGTCTCCAACTCTCCCTCACATCTGTCTCTCCTCCTACCCCTCACTTGACCCTCCCCGTCTCCCTTCTGCCCCAATAATATCTCTTTGTCTCTATCACTCCCCTGGCCTCCCCTCCACCCATCCACCCCCTCATAGGTACACCTTCCTGTCCTTGGGACCCTGTGGTGGAGAGGGTGGGCAAGGATACGGTGTCGCTTGTTCTCTGGATACTCGGTGCACAGGCGGCTCAGGTGGGCCTTGTGGCAGTGCAGTCCCCAGGGGTTGAAGCTCTTCCTCTCGTCCTGGGCCTGGTTCCCATCAGGGTCTTCTACCAGGGAGGAGACGTGGGTGCTAAGGTGGAACTCAGACCTCAGGAGTGCTGTGGCTTGGCTGCAGGTGAGGGAAGCACAGGACAATCGGTATCCAGGGTCAGAGGTCTGGGGAAAGATGCCCTTTCTTGTGACTGACTGTGCTCTCTTGGTTGGACTCTGACACAGACTCTCCAGGACACTGGTAAGGCCTCAGAGTGCCTTTCTTGCCCCAACTTAGGCCCTGGCACCAGATTGGATCAGGCCATACTGCAGCCCCCACCTTCTGGAGTGGGGGTGCAGGTGAGGACTCTCTAAATTCAGATGAACTCATTAGAGCGTGTCACCCCCTCAGAAGGCTGAGATGGTTTAAATTCACTTATAAGCGATCTGGATTATTATCTCACTATTGGGGCGACACAGTAGGGAATCAGAAGGCAGGGGATTTAGACTGTTACCTTTGAGACCTCAAAATGCCATAGAGGGTAGAAGTCACAGATTCCTGGTCTCCCTCTCTCCCGCCCTCTGCATCTTGGCTTCCCCATCTGTGAAATGGAGATAATGTGCACCAGCTTCCTGATGCAGAGCCAAGAGGCTTAATTAGATTGTCTGTGCTCCTTGGGGAAGGAAGATACTTTCGTTGCATTAGCTCTCTTTTGTTTCCCATAAATGTTTTAAAAATCCGCAGGGATTCTTTTCATCTGAAAAAGGTCGGCTGACATTATCAGAGGTTTCGGAGACCTTTCTAGGGACCTCTGTGCCCTGAGCCAACCTGTGCCTTTGAGTTCCCACTGAGTGATGCATTGGCCTCTCTCCTCATCTCCTCTGGACTGCTAAGAAAAGATGGTTTTTCAGAGACATTAGCCACACTTTTCATTCATGTCAACTATTCTGAGGTTTCTGCTCTGCACATTTCCCCTCAGACACTTCAAGGTCTCAGTGAAATGGGTACTTAATTAAACAATATGTGCCAAATGCCTGCCCTGTATAGGGCTCTGCATGTGCATCAGCATCTGAGATAAATGCATCACAGTCCTCCCTCTAGGAGCAGTGTGAAGAAGATGTATTCCTTTCTTTGATCACATTGGTTATTCTAGACAGAGCCTTCATCTGAATTTCTCATTTTCTCTGCTTGGGCCTTCATGACGAGCCATTGGCCTTGTCACAGGTGAGAGTAGAGCTGGTCCCAGGTAGAGACGAGCTCCCAATTTCTGTCATCTGCCAGGTGTCCCTCACCTCTCCTTGAGTGAATGTGCCAACTGGGAATGCTGCCACTGGGAGAGGGGATGGGCACCGCCACTGCCGCTGGTGGTCTGCTGGAGTGTCTGCCATATTGCCACTGCCGCCGACTCCGTGGAGACCTTGAAGGGTTCCCGGTTCTCGTTCAGTGGGTTGGCAACCAGGCTGAGATGGCCGAGGCTGTCTTTCAGGAGGTGCACCGTGATGGTGCCTGCAGAGCACATGAGGGACAGGATGGGCAGAGAAACCAGATGGAATTTACCTGACTGGACACAGAGAAACCAGATGGAATTTACCTGACTGGACACAATGGGTGAAATCATTTTGAAGTGTGGCTTAATGACAATGGTCAACCTTCCCTCTTCCCCAATTCCTCTCTCAAGGAAGAGCTATAGCGATTGGCTTGGTTTAGCCTGAGCCCGACCTGTTCCAGAATGAGCCCAGTGCTGTGGAGCCTGCAGAAAATAGCCTTGGGCCGCTCTTGGCACGGCCGCTCCTTTATCGCACTTTTCTGCTCCTTCACACTTTAGACAAAGCCAGCCCTGTACATTTTGTTCTCACATTCTAGTTCCTCCGTGCACAGTCACACCTTCCCAGTCACACCACAGCTGTCCCACCTGGGCCCAGCCTTGGGACATCAGAGCTGGTCTTCTGCAAAAAGGGGCCCCTGCCTCAGAGTGGCAGTGAGGGAAGTTGGGGCCCATCCGTTCCTCGCCCTTGTCCTTTGCTTCTTCTATTATCCTTTCTCCTCCCTTTGTCTATCTGACCAGCTTCTTCGAGGAAGCCACCTCAGCCTGCTGGGGCTCGGAACTCTTTGTCACCACTTCATCCATCCTCACCCATCTCTGGGTTTCATGCCGATGCTTGCTATTTTCTTTGGTTAGATGCACAACATATGAAGATTATTGGTGGAACATGGTTCTTTGATATAAAAAGACTTGTGAGATTTCCCCAACTTACAGTCCCTCCTAACCATTGGCATTTATAATCAAGGCATGATCTCTTCCACTTGTGAATGTGACGAGTGTGAGGAAACCCAATGAACAGATGTGCTAACTGGGCTTCTCCTCTGGGAAGTCAGCCAGATCGGGTAATTAGCACTGACACATATATTCATGGCTCTGTGGCCCTCCCCTTTGGACTTCTCACTCAGGTGGCAGAGTACCAGGCTTTCCTCCCTGGGGCTCGGCATCCAGCAGTTGCCCAGCCTCACCAGAGTTCTGATGAAGAGGGAAAGATAGTTTTGGTAGCTGCACAGGAGACCACCCCCCAAATAGTTTTGTGAGAACTGGAAACCTAGAGTACTTGGTTCCCTGTTCTTCCAGCAGCTGATGTTATGTTTTCTGTTTGTTCCCTCCCCCGCGAGCCCACACACTTTACCAGTGTTCACCCTGCTTTATGCCTAACAGGCTGACCCTATGGAGCATACCAGTGGGTTTGCCCAATGGCAGATATTGGCAAGCAACGAGAGCTGGGAGGAAGTTCGAGATGTTTATCCCACTGGTTCTCTCCCTGCTGCAGCGTGGCCCTGCCACAACTATGTTCCTCTGTGGCCTCCTTTTCACTGGGTCAGTAATGCCATCCCTACACTTTGGTCTTTCAGGCTTAGGGGTGGTTACAGGTTTCCAGTGCTGCCGGTCCCTGGTGCCTCACCATGCCCAGTTGTTCCCTTTATCCTGCATGCACTTATGCAAATAGTTCCTTTTAAAAGTTCTCCTCATTTGAACTTCTTTGTATGTACCTCTCATTTTCTGCTGGGACCTTGACTGAAGGTAGATTGCATGTGATCGTGTCCTCCAAGATATTTATTTCCTCTCCCTGCCACTTGGTCACCTTCTCTTGGTACCATCCTAAGTGGTAATTTCTGCTGAACAAGCACTCAAGACAGCTGATTTCCTGCTTGTGTCCTGCCCAGCCCTCGGGGGCTGGTCAGTGCAGACACTCATTTTCGAGGCTGCTCTATAATTCAGCAAGTCGCTCTTCAGAGCCATCTGTGCCTAGCTCAGCCGTCTCCCTGGGCCAGTCCTGTCATCTTAGATTCCCAGTGCCCTAATTTTGCAACCTGAGAGTGACATTCAGTTTTCTCTGGCTCCTAAAAATACTCTGCTTTTCCTCAGCTCATCCCAGGCCCCTGTGTCCTATAAAGTAATAATGATACTAACAATAATACTGTGCCCGAACCTGACATTTATGGTTTATCTGAAAACCAGCATGCATCTTAGACCAGGCCCACCAAAGCTGGTCTGTGCATGAGAGCAGGGGCTGTTGGCAGGCCGGGGAAATAACTGTGATAGTGATCATCACTGTCATGTCTTTCATGTCTACTATGTGCCAGCATTAGTAGCAAGCCTGACTGTGGTCACTGGGTCTCAGAAAGATGGAATAATTTGCCCAAGGCCACACAGGGGCAGAGCTCCAAGAAGGCCATCCATGCCAGACACAGATGGGAAAGAAGGAACAAACTGTCACATGGACTTGAGGACTTTATTGGGAGAGTCCGTGTTGTCACACTGTGTTTACCTGTGTGTGGATGAGGACCCCTCTGCTGTTACTCAGTCGTGTGCATGTGCTGGTCATTCTATGCCATGGAACAAACAAGCTGTTATCCCACCATCCTGTGACAGGGTCATCGGTACAGGGACTGGGAGCACCAGGAAGCCCATGGATGTAGGGTTTATAGTTCCAGTTCTGTTTTCCTGGGCAGGAGCCTTGCTGTGCTTATTCTAGGGAGGGGCGCTGACCTGGAAACCACCGCCAGGCCCCGGAGCCTACTCTCTACGTGTGAGAATGGGGAGAGCTCACTGGCATCTGTGATCATTGTTGGGGTGCTTGGAGCCTCCTGGCTGCCTGGGCAGCCCAAGAGGTGTGCAGCTAAGGGCAAGGCCCTTCCAGATCTTATAAAGTTCAAGTTACTATCCAGCAGACCCCTGGACTTTCCCATCCAGGCGCTGTGGTAGAGGCCCTGCCAGAAACCACACAGTCTTCGGGAGCCTGGACTCAGGATGCCTCTCTGGATGGATAAGAAATGTGACCTTCACTCACTTCCCCAGGTCCCAGCTCTTGTCTATCTCATCTGTTTTGATTGTCTAAATAAATGGAGGTGAGCAGAGGCATAAATAACCCAAAACCAATAAAACCCAAAAGTCATTTCTATTTCTCATATTGTCAGAGCTACACAGCCAGGCTCTGTGTCCCTGCCTTCTTGTTCCATCTTCCTGCATGCCTCTGACTGACTATGTGTCTCTGCCTGTCTTCTCTCCCTCTCCCATACACCCCTCTATGATTCAGCCTAGCCCTTCCCTCTGAAGCCTGGGACCCAGCACAGATAGGGCCTTGCAAACAATCTTGGGTTTCCTACTCTTCACAGGAGCAGCTTCTCAGTGGAATATAGGCTGCTAGGGGCTTGGATAGTTAATTTCATTAAGAGCCATGTTGGTCCTGCCCTGGCCTCCAGCTTACCTTGTATGTCCATGGGGACTAGGCCTCACAGGCCCGTGGGCTCCGAGCATGCTCTTGTCCCTGCCTGGCCAAGAAAATCGGGGACCCAGTGAGAGCCTCTGGCTGCCTGCTCGTCAGCTGTTCCCTAGCACCTTGACCTGCCACCATGCTAACTGGGCAGACAAGAGTGCTTCCTGCCACAATTGACATGCCCAGAACATCTCAGCAATTTCAGTTTGGCCGAGCAGCTTCCTCAGCCTCTGTGCATATTCCGTCATTTTTTTTAAGCTTTTGAGAGCATTTATTCACCACTATCTGTAATATGAATCTGGCTTATCTGTTAACCAGCCTGGACCTAGGAGCATGTCCTCACTAACCCAAAGCTGACAGGAAGCAAGAGGGGTGCAGCCCCAAGATGCTGTCATCATACCTGAGGAGCCCCGTAAAAGGTCTAGGGTGAGCTCCTGGCTCGGGAAGGCTGCCTTTGAGAATGACATCTCTGCCCAACATCCCCGATGCCATCACAGTGCAGGGTGATGAGCAGGAAGAGGATGTGCTCAGTGGTCACTCCAGAAACAGCCCCTCTCTCTGGGGCTATTCCCATCGGGGAGAAAAAAGGAGACCCCTATGGCAGGCTTGTGTGCACTAGAGTCTCCCTGACCTGAAGTCTCTAGCTTAGTGACCCCGGGCAAGTCACATACCCTCCTTCATTGGGCAAGATGCATCTCTGAGCACTGGCGTTCAAGGAGTCCATCTCTCTAGTAACAGTATCTGCTCGAGTCAAAAGCCACACTTGGGAGCCACACTTTGGGGCTTTGAATACTGGCTCTGCCTCTCACTGGCTGTATGGCCTGAGGCAAGTCAGATAACCTTTCTTGCCTCAGTCTCCTTACCTGCGAAATGGGGATAATAGTCCCCATTTCAGTAGGTGGTTGTGAGGATTAAATGAATTCGTACGTGGAAACTACTTACAGTTAGTTGTGTTTGGCACTGAGGGAACACTAAGGGTTAGCTGATGTTACTTTTCTTACCAGGTGAAACAAGAAGTCTACACAACCTGAGCACCCTTTGAGGGTTCCTTTCCCACCTAAAACCTGATCTCAGCTACCTACCCCAGGCGTCTGAGAGTAAGGGTCCTAGTTCTGGGCCTTGTAGTGTCTCCATAGACGTGCATTTTCTTAGATAGTGCCTGGATTGTGGCTAGTGAGTGAATCAGTTTCTGCATCATTGGAATCTCATGTTTGGGTGTCACCCCAGCCCAGGGTCTCTGCCTCATCCTCACCCTTGGCTGGGCTGCATGGTCTCACCTGGAGGGTGTCTGCAGTTCCCTGAAGCAGTTGTCTGGAAACACAATCTCCTGAGTAAAGCCCGAAGGCAGAGACTGAACTGTCCTCTGTGGCTGTCGATTCATGTAGCTATGACGCTGTAGCTCAAATTAATCCATTACCTTTAGCAGAGAGCCAGAGCAGCTGGCACTGGGGATGGGCCCAACCTGAAGCGGGGAGCAGGGCAGAGTAGGGGTCTGGACAGTAGACCGGTGCCCAAGTGTACTCGAGAGTGGTGCTGTCCTACTCCCAAGGGGGATGGGCACATGCAGATAGGGCTCAGGGAGCACACCAGGGTAGGGTTCTAGAGACCAAGCAGCTTCTTTCACTTTCCTGCTTTGCCTGCGCCTGCCCTGGCAGTCTGTCTCAGCTCCAGAGCTATGTTGAAGCTTGAAATGCTGCAGGTGGGAGGCCGCCCCACGCAAGGATCTGCCACCATTTGCTGGCTTGAGTTCAGTTTTGAAATGACAGACATTAATTCCAGTGGGTATTCTGACAAGATGGGCAGTGACCCATAAGCAAGGGTAACACTAGCCTGGGCCCCCAGAAGGCCCAGGGGAGGCCTATACAGGCTTCACTCCAGCCGTCCATCCCCATTTCGCAGCCGTCCTGTCTCAGACTCTCAGGAGGGCTTGGCAGGCTGGGACAAAAGCAGTGCCTAGGGCACAGGCCTTGGCCTCCTACTAATGGGTCTCAATTTAGAGCATGATGACATCAGGGATTCTGATTCCCAGGTCTGGGCTGGGGCCCAGGAACCTGCACACACGCATACATGCACACACATACACACCAGCGAGTCTGGTAAAATTGGTTGAACCCAGATCACATTTCGAGAAACACTGATGTAGATAGGCTCCATCCTTCCCAGTTATCTCAATCATTGAAATGCAAGTGAGTTTTTGACTGACTTGTTTGGATGTTATCATTGTCTTCACTACAAATACTTGGACAAGGAGAGCAGAATCTTGTAGTCATGACAGCTAAAATCCTTTAAAGGGGATCTTTTCTCTGAGTGCTCATGCCATTGCAGGGCTGGTGCCTGGCAGAGTCATGGCCTGAGCCGTGTGAACTGTGTTTACCAAAGGCTGGGTATGGACAAAACAGCCTGAAGGCCATGTCCGGAGGTCCCTTCTGGAGGTCCCGCCTGGAAGTCCCGCCTGAAGGCCCTCACTAGGCAGCCCTCCCCACCAGCTTTCTCTCCCCAGAACCCAGCTTGTGCTCAGATCAGAGCACACACTGATCCGTGCCCAATTTCCCCAGCTACACCTGGCAGGCAGTCCATGCCTCTGGCTTTGCCTCTGGATAAGGGCAGGAATTCTGGTTTCCTAAACTTGCCATGTCCCAGCTCTTCCATGTCCTGAGAGCCCAAAGCTCTCACCACCTGCCTAGGTCTCCAGAGGGAGGTGAAGAAGGCCTCTCTACCTGTCCTATGTTTACCAACCACAGTTGCAGGATCCAGCCATGGCACACCCAAAGCACAGACTAGAATGCCTCATTTTATTCCATTCTCAATTCCTCAAAGGCTTGTGGCTCCAAATGCTATTATACTTCAGACCTGGAGGCTTGAAAAGTTCAGAGAAACTAGGACAGTGAAGGCCAGCTGGGCTGCAGGAGAGGGGCGTGTCTCCATGGCAACTGCCTCACACACCGCAGTGCTTGAGGAAGTGGTGGGTGCATGCAGACAAGCCCAGTGTGTTGGTCCAGTGTGTTGGCCCCGAGCCGCATATGCTGCCCATATGCTCACCTTTGTACTGTGGGGTGAACCGCTTCATGGCCGGCGGCAGGGATTCATAGAACCTCTGCTCCTGGGAGATGAGGGGCTTGCATACAGTGTCCTCGTCATACTTCATCACACTCAGGTGTCCCCCGACCTGATGCAGGAAGGGCTCCAGTTGCACACCCACCCTGGAGTCCCCAGCATCTGCACTGTTCTGCACAACCATGGCCTGAGGTAGAAATGGTAGCTCTAGGACAGAAGGCGGGGCTGTCAGCAGTCCTCAACTTTCTCTTTGGGCTTTATTGTTGTCATATAGCATAGTTGTCTTCCCAGCTACGGACTCTCAGCAGAGACCCTGAAAAGCAGAAGAAGGTGGAAATGATGTGAGGGAGACAGTGTCTTGCGGGGCAGCACTCAGAAGGACCCCCAGTCCCCAGCCATAACCCAGCAATAGTTAAACAAGACTACAAACATGCATCGATTACTTGTGGAATAATCTGTTGTAAGAAATTAGTAACAGTGGTTGCCTCCAGGGAGCAGAGCTGAGAGGAAGACTTTTTTCTAAATATGGTTATATACCTTTTGCATTTAAATATTCAAACGTTTTAAAAAAACAGTACACAGAACTGTAGGCTTCCAGAGTACAGAGACTGTGTCTTAACTTCTGTCATGTTGCCTGCTCTTCTTGGGGAACATTAATCCCAGGCCCAAGAAGAGAGCAGTCCCTGCTGTTGGGGCAGTCGACATCTGGCAGGGGCTTGAAAGTACGGGAATGCTTCATTTTTGTATAGCATAGCTGTGCACTGTCAATTTATGTCATGACTCCACAAGTAATTGCTGTGTGACCTTGGGAAGTTACTAAATCTCTCTCAGCTTCAGTGTCCCCATCTGTGGAATGGGATAATAATGATCTCTACCTCATGGACAGAACTGAGATAAAGCCCATGAGAAGGTTAGCCCAGGGTCCACAGGGTCCATTTATTAAGCTAAGTGCTTAATAAATGTGATTTATCATTATTATTTCTGGCATTAAACCAGCGTCACCTACAAGTCACTGGCTGTACTGGCACAGGACCTCGATTTTCTGGCATTATTGGTGGTTCATATTTTCCCAAAAGCTCTGGGTAGTAGGGAAGGCAGACTTTCTCACCACCACTTTGCAAGTGAGAAAAGAGAGGCCTGAAGTGCCTTGCCTGGGGCCGGGTGGGGTCCAGGAGCAGAGGTGGAAGTAAAGCGGGGCTCCTTGTCCCTGGGCCTTCTCTTCTGCTACCGGCTGCTCTCTTTTCCTCCTAAAGGGTGGGCTTGCTAGACCACAGGCAAATGCTGGGACTCTGGGCTGGAAATGCGGCTCCTAAAGACATCTTGACTTTGTCTCAGGAGAGTGCCAAGGAGACACTGCGAGGGGAGGCTCTTCTGGCTGTATTTGTCGTGTCTGAGAGGACATTCCCACAGCGGTACCCATCACCGCCAAGTTATTAATACTCTCCTCTGCTGGACTCCCAGCCGAGGATTTGACCAGACTAAGCATAGCTGGGTATGATGAACCCTCTAAATGACCTTTAGTCCAGACCATGGGCATGGCTGGCTGGCTCCATGCATAAGAGTTTGTCCTATCAGTTTGTTCAGGACTCTGGCTCAGAGAGGCTCCCACCAGCCTCCCAGACCTCTGACACCAGGCGGCACTGAAAGCTTCTGCTTGGCTCACTCATTTTCCCCAGGGCGCCTCTCCCACATTGGCTACTATTCTTCAGGCAGAGTGCCCTTTGGAATGGGGGAGGGGGCGTTCTGGCTGATTTGTGGGTTTGCTTTGCTGGATGCAGTTTGAGGCTCCCAGGAGCTGCCTGCGTGGTTGGAGTGTGGCTGGGGAGGGTAGAGTTACTTGGGCAAGGACTTGGGTGGGGAGGCCAGAGGCCCGATGGCCAAGGGGCTGTGCCCAGGCCTTTCCCCAGCTCTGCTTTAAATAGAGGTGAGCCCTCCTGGTAGCCTCTTCCAGTCTCTGAGAAAAAGAATTGGTAGGAGGCATCTAGATACAGAGAGAAATCAGAATCGGCCCAGGGATGAGTTGATGTCACAATTGCTTGGCAAACCCAATCCTACTTGCAAGTTTGGCAAAGGCCACAGGAAGAAAGAAGGGAAAAACCAAGGTGAACCAACATCACTCCTCCCTGGGATCACTTGTGTGTCAGCCTTTGCCAGCTGATGTGTCCCTGGGGAGAGGGAGTCAGAGGCTCTTCTGGTGACCAGAGGGACAGCCAAGTTGTAAAATTCATTTATAGCCACTCTTGGAAGGAGTCTAGGTCCTGTCCCTCACACATGTCTCTCTAGGGTTGAGCCCAGCACTAACCAGCCTTACTGAGCAAGTATCCAGGCAGTGTCCTAGCAGACCCTCCTGCTCCCGTGCTGAGGGGTCCCTTTGCCATTCTTTCCCCCGACGCCCTGTCTCCCTACGGAGCTCTAAGGACAGCGACAGTGCGGGGAGGAAATAATAACAAATAGCATCAAACCGTGGGCCAGGCAATGTTCTAGGGGCTTTATATAGACGAACCCACTTAAGCCTTACAACAACTCTATGCGATAGTGTTATCAGCCCATTTTACAAATGAGGAAAATAAGGCACGGAGAAGCTACGTAGCTTGCCTGTGTGGACCCAGCTAGTGTGGGGAGAGCGGGGATTTGAATGCGAGTAAATTTGAACATTAGCCTCAGAGTGTGCTTACCCACCATGCTGCAGGAAGGCTGAGGGCTGTCGTTTATCTACTTTGAGAATTAGAAATTTGAGCCCCAAGGAAGCTGGGACTTAACCACAGTCACCTATAAGTCATTGGCTGTACTAGGACAGAACCCAGATTTTCTCGTCTCCCAGGCCTGATGATAGTAGTGCATGTCCTAGTGGTGGGTGGGCTCCACACCTCGGAAACGATCAATAGAGGTTGGGGGAGGCCCACCTAGACCTGGGGCTTGGTATTGATCTTAGGGCTTTCTGGCTACGGGTGTCAACCAGACCTGAGAGGCACTGTCATTCCCAGATGTTCTCAGAACCCTGGCTAAACCTTCTCAGAGAGCATGGAGCAAGCCAGGATGACCCTGGGCCTCTGAGACAGCCTGCAGCACAGCACAGTGACACAAACTCTTCTGTCCCTGGACATGAGGTAGATCGGTAGCGTTTGGGTATTTGCTGGGTAGTTAACTTGTACTTTTTAAAAAACTGTAACTCAACAGCTGGGGAAACTGAGGCCTTTCCTCTCAAGGATTTTCTTAGGGTGTATATTTGGTGACATCTCTTTAGACTCCCCCCTCTCTTGAGCTGTGTAGCTGCGGTTCTGCTCAGGTTGGTGGGAAGGGGTGGAGGGAGGATGGGTGGGCAGTGGCTTCAATACGCAGAGCACCTGCCTGAGCTGGACAGGAGGCTTTGCTGCTGCTCAGGAAGGCATTCTGTGGCTTCCCCTTGGCACTGATGCTGACCTTGGATTCCCAAGGAAGCTTGAGGTTTTTCATCTGTTGCTGTCTTTGTGTGTAGCCTCCTGCTCTGTAGGACAAAGGCAGGGAAGGCCTCCATTCTTACCATTCCTCCCTTGGAAGTCCCAAATAAATAATTCAACTTGACAGACCTTTCTCAGCCCAAGCTTCCTTTTGCCACATGCAAGCACTTCTGTCATTGGCATGGGCCTTGGCCTTTGATCAATGCCTCTGCGCCCTGTTTCTGTTTCCTAAGAGCACTGGGCAAGGACACAGGAGCCCAGGTCTGTTCCAGGTGTTCCTACCAGCTTGCCGAGGCCCCTGGCATCCACTGGGTAACAGTCCTATGTCTTAGTGTTCCACCCACTGCCACAGCCTTGTCATGATGCTCAGATGACAAAAGGCATAGCACTCCTTTGTGGAGGCCTCTTCCCAGGCATCTCCTCCACGAAGTTTGTCACTGCGTGGGTGATTCTCAGAACTGACTCAGCTTGAGTGCTGGGAAGGAGGGTGAGGCGTTTGTCTAAGACAGGACCTCACGCCCCCTCTGACACACTTGCTGAATACCCTGGGCTCCCTTTAGTGCTTTGAAGGGAAACAAACATCCCCCTCTCCAGCCCAGCCTCCTCCCACAGCCCCACAGCCCAGACCCCGCATCCAGCATCTTTCCCAGTGTTCCTTGGGGAGGGACTAAAGGGAGTAAGGATGAGGGAGGGAGGGAGGGAAGAGGGAAGATGCCCCCAGCCAGAAGAGCTCAGCTTAAAGACCCACGTCCCTCAGGAAGAATAGCCAAATGGCCTCAGGTCTGTGTCCTCCTGCTCTGTCACTGGGCAGTTATGTCCTGAATGACATAACTCCGGGCCTCACTCTAGGAGATTCAAGGGCTAATTTTTCTGATGGGTCCTGGCCATTGGGCTGGTTATTAAATGCCCTGGGTTGTCTGTGTCAGTGCAGCCCTGCGGGGCCTGAGTGACAGCCAGACTGCTGCTGGGTTGCAAGACTCCCTGGTCTGAAAGGAGGGTCACAGACAGCAGGGCCTGTGATTGCATTTGGCTTCCAGAGTAGGGACAGATGACAATACCAGGGATGTCAGACACAATGACAGATGCCACCCATCACACTGAGGTGGGTGAGTACATCGTGGCTTGTTACTACCAAGAGATAGGCTCTCTCCTGAGAGCCTGTGTGTGTATAACCCCTGCCCATGTGCTAAACCTGAGTTCATTAAAAATTTCAGAAGGTTTTTTTTTTTTGTTTCTGTTTCATACTTCACACTCCCATTTTATGGAAGATGGCAGGTAAAACCACAAATCAAACTTGTCAGGGTTCAAACTTGGACTAAATCCATCATGGACGATATATCAAAGCCTATCAGTTCCTTATATCTGGAAACAAGTTGGCTGACCGTGGTCATTGTCAGGGCTGCTCACAAATATTCTGGGGTTCCCCACAGGAACATGGTATGACTGCACTTCTCCTGCCCTTTAAAGGTAAGTGTGGCCACATGATTTGCTCTGGCCAGCATAACGTGGATGGGAGTGACAGGTCACTCACTCACTGAGTTGGATATGTAGCATGACAAAAATAAACCTCTGTTATATGAGGCCACAGAGATTTGGGGATGGTTTGTTATGCAGCACAGCTCAGTCTGTCCTGACTAATTCACCAGCTGGCAGCCAGACACCTAGTATGGGGTCCTTAAGTTGAAAGCAACTTCACTTGAGTCAGATATTCAAATATTTCACTGAACAAAGATATCTATACAATAAT